TTTTTTATGACAGAGGATACTCTGTCATAAAACACTTAAACACACTCAACAAATTCACGACGGTAGAGCCACGCAGCGGCGTCGGCTGTTGCACGAATGGGCAGGCTCGTCCTGGTAAGTACCACGAACTCACAGATATAATACTTTCGCGTTTCGTCTGGTGAGTGAGGTGGCGGCGGTATTCACTTAAAATGAGGTAAAACATCTGCTCACATAAAAAAGAAAAAAATAAACGCTTCATATAATTTTAGCAATGAGTATCAAGTAATAAAAAAAAACCCTATCTTTTGTCACAATTTAACGTCCAGTACTTGAAGAGTTACAAAAATCTAGACACAAGAGGAGTAGGTGAAATTCTCAAGTCGAACCCAAAGTGTCAATATACTACATACTTCTGCTTACCAGTTTTCAGTCGAAAATGGACTCTATTGGAAGCGTTAAAGACGAATCGTAACGCAAATATGTTATCGGCTGATATGATTGACTAAGGAATTGTCACAGCATTTGGGTCAAACCTATATTTTGATTATTAAGTGCCTGACTTCACAATAGATAAAGTTTATTCGATATTGTCATATTCTTTCCACATGAAGATCATATAATTCATAGGCCGGGTTTTTCATTTGACGTAAACCGACCGAATTCACATACCTTATTAGAATAATTAGATTTTTAAGCCAATTAATATATTTAATAAAAAACAAAATCATATTCAACTGTTCTTAGTAATACATATTAAGAACAGTTATGATATATAAGAACAGTTATTGACATATAAGAGCAGTTGCCAATATAATATAACTCATAAATTTTTAAATATAGGGAGTTGTTGCTGTTATTTTGTTTAATATAGTAAAATAGAATCTTTTTCTTTTAAACGGATGTTTTACTAAAAATATACCGTTTTAATAATTTCACGGGGCAATATCATCACCATGATGCATACCATACATGCGTGTTGTCTTCCGTAGTAAGATTTTTGTTTTCTTTGTACGATACCGGGTATCGAACCTGAATTTGTAAGGTCATCTTAAAGTGGTAAGGAGTGATTAAACCATGGGATACAAATGTACCTATCGTATCAAGGTTTAGTACAGTCCAGTACAATATGTCCTTGCAAATACTAATTGTATATATGTGTATGGCTTTTATGTAATTGTAGCTTTCATTTCCGCAAATTCCCCTGCATAATATAAGCCTAACTTTATGCATTCAAACAACGAATTTCAGCAGTTCCTGGTATTAGTTTATAATTTTAAAATAACCACAATTCGCAGCAACAATGTACGCGGTTCGGTAAACATGGACGATATTTTTTTTATTCGCGACATCAGCAATGAAAACAAGCCCAGTACGGACCACCCAACGTGTAATTGTTATAAACAGATGTGGTAATAAAAGCAATTATTTTGCAGATAACTTATCTTTATTTGCGTTTAGATTGAATTTTCATTGAAATTTTGATTTATACTAAGAAATCGGCTGCCAGCATAATGTAAATATTTACTTTAATAAAGGTCCTCGACTTTAAAACTTTTCCGAATGACAACTGTCGCGACCCTTGCGTAAATAACGCTTATATGTATCCCGAATTTGAAAATTAACGTTGGATAAATATTTCTCTGTCGCGTGAGAAGGAGAAATGCTTTTCACAACAACTTTATTACCTTCACTAAACACTATACCCACAAACAGCAATTAACAAACCAAACACGCTATCCCTAAGAGCTAGTTAGCAACAAACATAAATACAAACTGAGCAATTATTGCAGAAGCCAAACAAAACATTTTTTGTCGACTCGCAGTCGCTGCGCCCAACGAGAGCCATCCAAGGCTTTTAATATAAACATCTCGAAAACCTATTTCCAATTTGTTTATGTAACATCTCAGAGCGACGGTTACAAAAAGCTCCGCTTGATACGAACAATCAGATTCGTGGAATCCGAAAAAGAAATCAATTTTGCGGCAAACGGTTATTTTCTCGAGGCGCGCAATTACGTCATTTAGTTTTTACTAGATTATGGACCGTTAATGAGGGTTGCTGCGTGTGTGTGGTGATTTTTTTATGCGAAATAAAGGTCTCTGTGGGCCTTTTGTTGTAACATTTCATTAAAGTATAACTACTCAATTTCGAAAGGCTCTTTCATTGATTCCCAACAAATTGAGTTCGTGCGTAATAAAGTTATTAGAGCTGCAAAAAATGCAATGTAGAATTTAGAAACATTAGACATGATTATTTGAAATTTTTATTTCGTCAGTTCATTTGTTTAGTTTGCATACTTGATTATTATCAAAGGCATATTCCTACCACGCTTGTTTACTTCTTTTCTTTTAATTTTATGATATCTTTTTCAACATTTTTATACTGAAATTTCATTAATAACGAATGAAATTGTAAGTAAAAACCCAGAGAACGAGACGTTTTCATGTCGTCACCAAAGTTATGTTTATTAATTTGTTTTGTTTCGAACCGCTTTCTAGTAATTAAGATCTTCATATAGAAATAATGTAATGAGAAACGATACGTTTTATATATGTACATTCATTTTTAATTTCCTATCTAGGAGAAAGTTGAGTCATCTTTGAAATTTAAAATATAGTCGCAATCGCTCCGAGGCATCGGCACTAGGCAGCATTTTTTCCTCTCTTAACTCTGTACGAGCTATTAAACTTCTTTATCAGCGTATTCATATCAAATTTTAATTAAAAGAGTCACATATTTTATGCGATATTCGGCAGTAGGCGTTGCAAGTGTCCGACGGAATTATATGAGCTTAGATTGCTTGAGCTATTTGCGTTCAACTCTGTGCACTAGTACAACGATTGTTAGAGATCAACTTAAAATGGTGATGCAATATTAAATCGTTAAATTTAATATTGGTAGTTTCTTTTATTGCTAACTAACACTTATGCGGGTCAAGCGATTAATTTTTTTCTCGCACCGTAGCCATTTTAATTCTCACGGACTATAGTTTGTGTTGTTTTATCGAACGCCGAATCGAATTAGTATGTTGATTTAAGTATTAATAATTGTTTGAATTAACTGATCGTAGTACACGTGTCTTAATAAAGAACGTGTTTACTTCTCAAACATTGTATTATTGGTTAATTCAGTATCTGTATAATTAACTGCAGATAGTTAATACTTTATACAGATGATAAATTTTACAACTCATTGCTAGAACAATTGCAAAAATAAAAAATACTTACGATGAATAACGACTTTTGGATTCAATTTGTATCAATCGCTGTTTGACAACATCTCCGCTTGGGTCGTTATGAAACGCATGATATAATATTGAAACAAATAAATCATGTTACTACTAAATTTATTAACGTGTCGAAGTGCTGATGGATTGCAAACTTAATTAGGTCAGTTGTACTGTTGGTTGCAATGCGATCTCCACAATCTGACGCGGCGTTTTGATGAACACGAAATTATACACACCAGTGAATGAACGAATCATTTTCAACGCTGTTAGCTCCTTAATAAAACGTATTTAAATAATAACTAGCTGGAAAACACATATTTTCTTAAGTTATAGAAAAAAAAATTATCGTCGTAACTATTAAATGGCTGAACTGGTTTTGATTGAACTGAATCAGTGAGCTAATAAAAAATTAACTTAAATTAACTTGGACGGAACGAAAATTACAAACTATTAGTTTGGTTTATTTTTAAATAGATACGGATTATTGATAATTTTTTTGAATATCGAAACATTGTTAAAAACGGACCCTTCCTGTCGTTAAGAAGATCATACAGGACTATTGTAATTAAAATAAAATTATTCGGTGCTTAGTTGAATATAATAAAAATTTTAAAGATTCTTTTGGTGCCATTTAAAGAACGAAATCAAAAGAATGATCAAGTGAGTGCATGATTTCCCATAATTGTTAAGCAAGCCACAGAAAAATTGAAGGTGAAAGTACTTTTTATTTAGACAGGTGATCACGTTAAAGTGATGAGTACTTATAGAGCAAACATTGAGTTATTTTGCTTTGGTATATTGCATCGAAGCGGTTTTAAAATTTTCTCATTCGCGTGTCAGTAAAAAATATTATTCCCGACTTTAAATTGCGTCCATTTAAACTGAGCGTATTCCGCTGAGAACATTTTAACGAACATTTATTTTACACCCAACGTTTCTATGTACTAAATTATTGTCAGCGTGGAAATTGTTTTTATCATTCCAAATGTGTTTCATCGAATCAAACATGAGATGACGAAGACTGCTGACCACAAATGTCACCTAGGAATCTACACCTATTTATTCCTGCGCCTTGACCATTCGCCGTTACTATATTGCATGGCGAGCTTTACCTGTTGCAGTGGTGGGTCGTTGACCCTTCGAGTATTGACATATTCCTATAGTTCCTCACGTCTGGCCATGCCCGCCAACGTGATTATAGTAAGCCCGGTACTCTACGGCGCTAGAGTAAACGGTGGCGAATACTCGCGCGTGTTATACACATACATAATTCTACACAACACTTGTCCATACAATTGGCAATTAGCCAGTATTTTAGAAATTATGTACTAATATAAAAACAATTAGCGGTAACCGTATAATAATTGGTAATTTTCGTGTATTTTTCTTACCAATGTATTGTATTACTGAATGTTATAAAATGCTTTGTCTCAAAATTCGGTGGCGTCAAGGTTGATATGAATATTATGGTCTCATCCGCCAAACCGTAACACACAAATACTCTCACAATAGCTTCCTGCTGCTTCAGCAGTCGAGAAAAGTTTATGTTATCTACATTTTAAAACTTTTTCACGTAAACAAAAAGTGAAATACTATATGCGTTTATACTACAAAATACATCCTCGCATACTCGCGTACACATATCGGCGAGGATCAACGTCGTAATGGATACTCCAGCGGCGACAACAGTTCGCCTGGTGCGAAGGTGCGCAAACGAAAACGAAAACCAAGGCGAGGGCGCTATTGCGATGCGAATAAATTAAGCTGGCGGACGTTTATAGCACTTACGATGGTCGTTTCCATCGGAGCGGGCCATGACGGTCCCGTTGGCGAACACGTTGACGTACATATGCGAGCACTGGCTGTAGAGGCGCACAGACCGGACCATCGATGGCACCGCACCGCAGATCACCACCTGCAACAGAGTGGACAAATCGTGTGAGCTCTCAAAAGTACTCTACTTACTAGTCTTTCGACGCTTAATCCAGCGCGAATAGGTCGTCAGTTACTAGTCGATTGTTACGAAAAGGTGGGAAAGTGATTATAGTAAACGCCCTTTATGATTAACTCTTTACTGTTCACTTTTATCTACTGGAGATTGTGGCAAATATATTCGATTGTAAATAGCCCCATGGGCTATCAATATAAGTCTCAACAGCTGCAGTTGCCTTTCCAACAGTAAAGTGGGTGGGCACCGACAACCTTACTTCTGATAATAAACGGAAAAGCTTCTATTCTGTGCTAGTATTCTCTGTCGACGTACCACTTTACCGTACAAGTCATTCGTGTGTGTAATAGAGAGATCGTCTAAGAAGCATACAGGTGTTTTGACGAATATTTAAATACAGAATTATTGAGTATTTAAATCATTATGGCTAGTAGCATTTCAGCTTGTTAGAGTCCACTGCCGAACATAGGCCTCCTCCAAAGAAGACTTCCTTTACACAGCACGATCCAGCATCCATAGACTTCCTCGTTGTCCTACAATTCATCGACGCGTTTAGCGTTCTACGTGTTATATTGCCGACCCCTTTCCACTTCAGCTTATCAATCTTCTAAACTAAGTCGGTTATATCTGTTATTCAAGCCTGGCGTGTGTGGACTGTAAGCAACCCTTCGATTGTGTCGAAATTTACTCCAGGCCCATCAGCGGTGCCAGATTGACTGTCGGTACATCCAGATGAGGCTGAGGTATTTGTATAACAAGGCTACGATGTCCATCGACCACCGACTAGTAGTAAAAAACCTATCCAACTGTAGGAGACAGTCATATCATATCCCCGAAATATTCTTAATTGGAAAAGATGAGGCATTAACATCATGGCAAAAGATTCCTTTTTATTTAACATTCATTTCATCATTTGCTAGTTTTGTGTTTATAAAGAGGTTTGTTTTAAATAATAAGTTTTGACGATGTCATCGGCACATTGCGTGCTACTCCCACAATACAACGTCAATTGTCACTGCCTTTACGATCAACATGGTCAACCCATAGCCACTTCAGGCCACACATTCCAACAGCCATCTTACAATATCTCCCTTTTACTTTATTGGAATTCATAAAACTACGAAACTATGCCCAGAACCAACGTGTAATTTGAAAAAGCTCGTAGCAAATATTTCAGTCAAATAAAATCATAGTTTGACATAGCCTTATCGAAAATGAACGTAATGTTACGCTAACTGATTATTTGATTACGAACGATAATGTAATTGAAGGCTGTGGCACTCTCCATCACTATTGAACTATAAATAAATCTCGTGATTAACACAGCTACATTGCAATATACCCTGTGTGGATCATGGATCATTATTAGTAAAAACTGTTAGTAGCCGTTGCAGAGCATCATTATTTACAAAGAATATCATATTTTCATCAAATTTTCAAATAACAATATCATTTGCAATTTAACGTGTTTTGTCAAACTTGCTGGCAATGAAACACTAAACCAATAAGTATTTAATGGGACACTGGTTTATATTTTACTACAGGAAAAATAGCATAAGGGAGAAATAAATTATTTAAATTGTTGTAGAACATCCAATCTGACAGCAAAGAGCGATAAAATGGTACGATAATAATCGTATGTTCTTCGTACTTTCTTCGAAAAAGAAAAGTGCAAGTTATAAAATAGACGTTTTACATGTCACTGTTTAACCTATGAGTAGAATCAACCGTCAAAAGCATGTTGTATGCAGTCAAGAGTATAAACTGAACAGGGTTAACGCAAGCGTCGGACAGTTGAAATTTAACGGCATTGCCGCTGCGCGAAATAACTAATAATTAAGTTATAAAAGAGGAAGCGCGTGCCCATAAAGTGTTTGGTGCGTGTAACACGTTATAAAAGAGGATTTATCGCACTGTGAGGTCCGTATCGGTAAAATTCTAACAAGTACTTGTCGAATAGTTTAAATTAGCTTCCCTACACTGTTGCATTGCTTTCGCTTGGACTTTAATGGCGCCAGTTCGCGTACCTCATTACGTTGATTCTGATCAATCTATCTTACACTTCGTAAGCCTTGCCGATTGCTACTGAATATTTATTCCCCGCTTTAAGGGCGAAATACATTCACTACGCTATTGAAATTTGCATCCCAGCTTAATTAACTTGTATTGAAATAATGACCATTTGAATATTAAAAACTTGTTTCAGCAATGGTTCTTTAGCTTCGAGATTAGGTAGGGCCTGTATCGTTGTGTGGTCTATCTCAAAATAATTTTCGCTTTAAATTAAACAGTCATAATATTTCGGTTACAGTGTTACAACAATCTTTAGTCGGATCGAATCGCTAAAATTGCAAAAAAATAGTACTCCCAGGAATTTATAATAATAATAAAACCTTCGGTTCAAGCAGCACAATAAGGAAACAATCGATCGTTTTAATGGGTCAGCCGTGCTCAGCTAAACCGTCAGACTAAGGGTTCCGACGAGGCGGGTTTAGGCAATTTTCAGTTCTATTTTACAAGTTGTAAATGTCGAGTTTTCAACATTGCAGGACATGGGTTTAGGACCTTTCAAGTCTGTTAAGCCGGTGTCATATTCAGGTGGGAAAGCATACGCTACCGCGCCGCGGTCACTGATCAGCCATATTGCGTTTCAAGTTATGTTTCATATGGAGTATAGAGGTTTTGCCTCCATCCAATCATGAACAATCCTATTAAGAATCGTAGAAATGCTAACATCAAAACCGAGTTAGCTCTTCTAGCTAGCGATCGAGCATCGGGTGTTGAAGTGATTACGAAATCTCGTCCCATTCCCACCGATGCTAACCTATAATCGTAAATTGACGTTTAATCAAGTCACAAGTATCAAAGTTAAGGCCCAAAATCAACATTACGAAACATTTATTACGTAAACGTTCCTGTTCTTAATAAACCCGACACGTTATCATTAACACGTCAAAACAGGTCATACTTTAAATTAACGACCCAATAACCATATACGGAAAATGGAATCGAAACTCATTTATGATAATGAAAATATTTTAGATATTTTTACTAAATAATTGCATCACAGTTGCAATTTTTTAGGTTGATGAAATGCAGTGTAAACTTACAAAAGCTAATCATAGATTAAGACATAGTCGAAGCAACATAAAATAAACATTACCTACTGGATATTTATAATTGTAATGAGGGTTATTAAACAGCATAGGCATAATTAATGCAGCCTGTAATATTTCAATTGATATAATGGGATTTATCGCGATGTTAGAACTCACACACAGTGATTATATAATTACGTCATTACTAAGCCTCTAATTAAAAATATACAAGTAATATTAATCAATTACATTTAATATCTGTACATTTATCGTATTTGACCGAGCCGAGTAATATAAATTGTTAAGTGGTTTACCGTTTGATAACTTTTTATGGACATTTGTTTATACCAGTCTTATTGATATAAGTCAGTTAAAACTCACATCAAGGTTACGTTCTGATCTTGCGCGCTATCTGTTTGTTTAATTAAATTCAAGCACATTGTTTTATCGCAAAGTATTGCTAGGCAATGTAAACTTACTTCTAGAAAAATACCATCTTGTATCTTTGAGTCTTAACGAGGTAGGCAGATATAGTTAACGCTGTCTGTCTACTTTTGATTGAGCTTACGAAGTATGAAAAGGAGACAAGCGATAAACTTGTCGCTTATTTCAGGGAGAAATGTGATAAAGTAGCTTTTACACAATCCGCGTACCTAATAAAGAATTCATTGCGGCGCGCTACTTCGAATTCCGATTTAAAATATCCAGCCTTCAAAATTCAGAGGATGGTCTGTAATTGTTTAACTTAGGTAGTATTGCTATAAAGAATTCATAATCGTGTTCTTTTTTAGTGTGAGAAGAAATGGATTAATTCTAACAGCATTCGTAATCTAATAATTGATAATCAAAATTTTTCGATATTAAAAAGATAAACAAAATAACCATTGATTTTAAAAGTTAAAATACAAGGATGCGGAAATATTTCAAAAAAGTTATGTATATTAAATATATGAACAATGAATATAATATATTCTAACAAGCACGTAATATATGACTTTCTTCTATTGTATATTGTTTAAGTTCTGCTCTCACATTTGCTATTACCGTAATGTTCTATAAGCTGCCATTAATAATGACAGTGTTGTAGTCACGCTTTTTACCCTAAATAACTTTTTAAACAATCTAAACAATAGTTAGAATGTGAATTCTTGTAAACATCTTGACAGAATACACCACATTCCATCGTCTTGACGATTTTATATGTTTACTTATTATTTAACTTTTGAAATGTAGCTTTAATCCCGAAAAAGTAAGATTTTAAACGCGACTTTATTAGCTTGAACTGTAAGTATGCGTATAACAATGTTATAAAATATTTCGATTTAATTTTCAATCTGTTCCACGTGTCCGACATCTGACGAAAAAGGGTTCATTATTATAAATTGCATTTTAACTGCTCCTATTAAGGAACAAATGACAACACAATAACTTTATTTAGGATTAACAATTCATACTAAAAATGTCTATTCCTTTATAGGCACCACATGTAGCTGGCTGGTCCGAGGAATTATCACGGCCTCACATGATAGTAATTATTTTAATCTCGCGTTTCATCTTGTGAGTGAGGTAACCGCTATCCTTTGTCATAAAGGTTGTCAACGCATTGTATAAAGGTTGTCAAAGGTTAGACATTAACAATTTAAGAGCTAATCACTTAAAATTCAATGAACCGTTTGCTAGCTAACAACTTTTCACATGAAAAACAAATAGAAAATATTATTAAATGAAATAGAAAATAAAAGGAATAACAAAAAATGTTCTTCAACGTTTTTACTGTAACCTAAATACCTACCTAAAAAAGCAGTTCGCACATGTAAGTGTCATTACGTGTGAGACCTGATGAAATAAACTCTGTTCCCATTATAATCTTAACGCGGACTGAGCAAGGGCCCTTAATTTCCGATAGGGTAACTTGCTTCGTATCAAAGGCCTTCAGGCTTTAAGGATTTAGAGGTCACTGATCGTGCCGCAACATCCTTATCTACGTCGACCCGAACGCACACATTATTGACGGGTGATTACATATCAATCCCACCGAAACTATCCGGGGCAAGTGTGTCGGAAATTTACGCGCCGCGAACATTGGTAAAACATAATCAATATTACGAGAAGTGATCGGGCTCGTATGCGGACGTTTTGATGAGACCCCACGCATTATAATGGCTGCTTGAATACAAATTATCTATCGAAGCGATAAGAGGGAATATATTATTAAATTACTATTCGAATTCCCTCTCCGAAATTAATTTTGCTATTCAGTTTTTATCTTTGACTTTCAATTTCACGAAGCGTCTAACATCCTTATTGAATGCTCGAAAGAAGCAAGAATATTGTTTTTTTTTTACTTCATTTAAAAAGTTCTACGTCATTGTAGATGTAGGTACAAGCGTTTAACATATTTTAATTTCACACGAGCTCACATTTATGAAATAATTATACGTAAGTAACACAAACAACGCCCTGACCTACTTCGTTCGCTTAGCTGGCGTCATCAACGAACTAATAAGAAATATCTACAGGAGAATGTACTATTTAACGTGAACCATTGTCATAATTAGACTAATCAGAATATAAAATAGAATTGTCACGTGGAGCAAATAAGTAAACAGGTCAAAATAGTTTACGGGATTATTTATTTATTCATAATTTCATGCACAAAAAAGCACACAGGAGTCATGTCTATTTTCATGAATTACTACAAAAATAAAAAGATAATCTTAATCTGGTACATACATAGCAACAAGGCGTGAAACATTTAGTCGCAACGCGTTATTAGATTCGATGAGATTGTACAACATCGCTCTTACTCTACAAAGAGATATTTGATATGGGAACCAGTGATAGCCTAATTTTGTGAATAAACGCTCGTGACGTGTCGGTGTGACATATCAGAACCTTATCTGCAGTCTGCCTGCGATGGATTAGGCCGGCCACACACACTTCAGATAAATACGACGTAATAATTGTTTTCAATCGATAACTGAGACTTGGTGTTTTTTTCAATTTTATCCCGTTAATTACTGTATGGCTATTATCAGTATATAGGTAGTGGAAAGGGAGAGAGTGATTATTCCAAATGCTTAGCCATATGCATTTGTGAGGCCGTTGATACACGATCAACATCTCCTTCAACGCTCTTAAGTAGAATACTCTATTACTGTACAAATTTCCATCCATATTGTTAAAGTACACAAGGAAGAAGCGCATACAAAAACAATGACAAACCACTTAACCTACATACTTGAAATCGGCACTAAGTGCTCAGATCATATCAAAATGCGCAATAGATGAATATCTAACTATACGAGAACATATGTAATTTCCATGTTAGAGTTTTAGGATATAAATTAAGACTCATCGTATACCAATTGCTAGACCTAACATAGTTTCAGAACAGATGCCATAAATTTAAAATGTTCACTATTATCCATCGTGCAGACACGAAGTTCGCGGAATGCCAGTAAGGAATTTATAGTGAACGGGTCTAGGTAGAAGAAGCACTTAACGTGTATTAAGTGATAATGTAAGTCCGTTAAATGCGTCACTATTGAATCTGTAGCGTTCGTGATGGCTAGATAAACATAGTTAAAGATTAATGTCACGAAATATTTCTGCGTGCACACATCTCAAACAGAACACTGGCCTGAATAAAGATTATTTGTACGTAATAAGTGTTTGCGCGTCAAATAACGGAAAACAACTCGATGGGCAGCGGCAAACAGATTTCTTTAAACGCCGTCCTAAAATAAAACGAGCTTGCCTAGTTAAGATACGAAATTATGGTCATCGCATTAAATAAAGGTATTATGACACCGCGTTGTGTTGTTATTATATATCGAAATCAAGTTTTAGCCTGAGATTTTTTTTAACTCAAACTTTTTCTTGGCGCCAATGTAACTACTTTGGAATCGTGAACATTAGTAACATGAAGTAATGAATAAAATTGTTTACTTCAATGTGTTATTCAATTTTATACAAAAAGCATTACACTAACTATTCTTTGTGCTTTATCTTTTATTGTTTGACTTTTCGTTTTTGTTGTTTAATGATTTTTGATTTCTTTGTGCTTATTAAACTTTTACAGTCATATATCAGTACTTTCTGTTCAGTTACCCTTTAACAGGTCAGTGGTAAACTTGTCGGACATTGCGTTTTAAAACATCCTGTACAATAGGTAAACGGCAAACTTTTCGTACAATGCATTCTGGAACATCCTATACAGTCGGTAAACGACGGCCACACAAGACGGCGCTTTAATGGCTCGCGAGTTAAATAATGAAAACTCTCCGACACACGATTTAATAAAGCTAAATTTCTTCATCTCGCTGCGGCGCGGTGTGCTCGCGTGCGTAATCACGCCAAATGATAGGCGGCGGCCGCTAAAGACTGTCGTTTGAAGAACCGTACATTAACTCAGATACTTATTTACACCCAGCTCGACGACGGTTGCTCATTTCAGTGGTCAACTTTGACTTTTCGGAAGCGTGAAAGCAGTAAATGATATTCGAATTATTTTTGATTGGCTCTCTTAATGACGTTTTCTATTGTTTAAGTAAGCGGATATATAATTAATTGATATTTTGAACAGTGGATCATTCATGGTCACGGGGCTAATCTAGCGATAAAATCTGACTGGTAGAGAATGTCATTAGGCATTAAGTCCGTCCATTGTAGCCTATAGTCTAAGGTGTAACAATGAAGTGTAAATAAATAAAAAATCCGTAAAGCATTGATAAGTAAATGTCCATAAAATATTTAGTATTATTTAAAACTCTCTAGTCATCACATCTATTTAACAGATTTCCGGTAACCATAAGAATCATTGTCGATAAGTCTTCGTAGTGTCGATGAAAATTAATATATGTGTTGTATATGTAAAACATGTATTAAACATACAAGATATAGTTGTCCTGTTCCATATCTTTCTTCTCTTTTATGTAACGAAGCGTACCTAAACAATCTTAAAGCGTGTCCTTGAAATTTCTAAATTCTCGATGTCATAATTGATTCACGGCCCAAGAATTTTCACCTCAATAACAGTGAATGTTTATAAAACAGTTTCAATAAATAACTAATGACTCATAGTTAGTTTTTAACACATATAAGGTCTTTTCAAAGTATGCACCATTAAACATAAGATGTAAATCCGAACAAAAACGAGAGTCTCAACAGCAATGTTTAATTGCAAAAGTAATTCAACGTAAAAATGTGCTATCACGAGTCGTAGAAGCGTATCAGTCGCAGACGGCCAGTATCAAAACGGACTAATGCGAATGCAAAGATAGCTTGTTCAATTGGTCTGATTAACCCTTTTACGGTAAAGCGATCTCTCGTCTAATTTGTACGAACACGTTAAGAGCGAAATACATATATAGTTACGAACTTACAATAGTGAATTCTTCGCGTAGTGTGTAACATGCAATGAATATTGTTTAATAACACCGAAACATTTTCATTTAAAAATTATTGTCGACTTATTAGACCAGACGTGAAATATATTTCTTCGCAGATTAGATGTCAGTTTTTTTTTATTTTATATCGTAAAACACCTAATTAAATATTGCTTAAGTCAGTTTTGTGCCTCAATTAAGAATAATCAGAACATACAGAATAATCTGTCTTAGACATTGAATCAAAGAAAGAACATAATAAGTAAACACAAATATGAAGTGGGCAAAATGTTACATTTGGAGTTGACGAATTCGCAAGAAAATGTTACGACGAAGGAATTCCTTCGACGTAAGTTTTTTTTAAATATTTCATCTTGTTCAACGTAATATGTAGATGTATTGTGTACTCTACTGTAAAAGCGTTGTCATATTGTTTGCTAACCCGTAGTCTCGGCATATTCTCCAGATTGTGGTTTAAAACTTACCATCAGGAGGCACAATATCTTTGCAGAGACGGCAAGCTGTGGTAACCTGAGAAAAGAAAATCAAAACATTAATATGTGCTTTACTGTGGTTTAGTGAAAGTGGTATGAAATAATTGATATTTGCATAGATCGATTACGAGTACGTGCTTATGTCTCGTGAGAGTGAGGAAGAAAATCATGTTTAATTTTTAAAGGTAGTTCATTTAATTATTCACATTTTTATATTCTTCTAAACATCATGAGATTTTTACGGTTACAATTTTTCTCCGATTGTTTTTATAGACAGTCTTTTTTCTTTTTACCAATTCAAAAATATTTGCAGATTAATAAATGTCATGAGGTCACGAACTAGACACATAACATTTTATATAGATTTGTTTTTATAGATTTATTATTTGTTTATATAGATTGGTATACTATGCACATTCTTCGTTACCAAAGATAACAGATCGTTTTCTTCAAAAACATTTTCCTAGCACAGTCGGTAGTAGGTAATAGTACAATATAGATATAAGCATTAAAATACACATATATTTTATTATATCTCAATAAAGCACAAGTCATTAATTTAAGAATTGTTAGAATTTTTATCATGGCGCCATTATTTTTTATCTACTTTTAAAACAGCATTCCTTGTATAATACATACAAAGTAAATTATACGTCCGCGACGTGTTCTATTAATTATAATATATTAAAATTTATATCTTTTTAATTTACCACGTAGAGCTCGTTTTAAAAATTATGGTCGTGTCCATAGTTTCCGGATGTGTCTACTTGAAAATGGAAAGCGTAAATATTGTTAAGCAAATTTGCGGTGCGACTGTACTGAACATTGTTTATTGACTAGATTAACATTGACAATATGTATTGTTTGTTTCCTTTCGAATATTACTTGTTTTTGTTTTGAACACCGCTGTTTTTGATATAAACAAAAAACGGCTTTTAATTATGTGAACCTTATTGACGACAAAGAAAAGTTTCACTCTGATAAAAACGTATTTTTTGATCAGTAATATTTAATTACTTCAAATAAGCGTTGGTACTAGCATTGAATTGTTTTTCAAAACGTATATAATTATTATGTATAGAGTCTAGTATAGAAGTCTCCGTATTTTTATTAGCAATCGCAAGAATTATTTTTTTTATAATGGAATCACTACCAAATTGTTTTTGTTGCGGTACAATGAGTACTCGTAGCGAAAACTCCAATCGGACGGAAGCAACTAGATAATATTATTTTGTTCACAATACACTTCATTTTACTTTAAAAGCAATCTAAAACACTCGTGTGTACGTAACACATTGTCCGCCAGTTACATATTATGCTTACGATCGCTGTATTTACTCGTTAACGTGAGTACGACTCGGGGCTATGTAAAACGATCTGCGCAGAGTCGGTTGGCGCCAGCTCCACCGTACCCTTCGTTTGAGCGCACTATGCGATTTCCAATCGCTTCTGGTGCGGCTTAGGACACGAGGAAAACAGTTACCGAATGGACATTAGTCGCTTGATGCGTTCTAACGCGCGTTTAGCAAACCTACTGACGTCCTGGCGTTCGATTGAATTTTAGTCTTACGTTTTCAGCTTATTGAATTACTGAGAATTGGTACTACTGAATATTATTCTCCTTGATATTGATGCAATGAATATTAAGTTTGCACTAAGTTTCGACGTAAACGGGGCATATTTATGTAACGGTTGGAAACGCTTCCCTAATCTCCCGGTAGATGTCGGTGGTAAACGCTTGTCAACTTTTAGCATAAAAAAGGTCAGTTTTACTGGGATTAAATATTAGTAGAGATCGTAACATAGAAGAAAATGTTATAAATTCTTCTTTAATTATGAATACATCATCACGTATGGCAGCTTTACACAAGGGTTAACTGAATTTTATGATTCCGAATTGCTACCTTATAGTGACACAATAAACAAAAGAAAACAATTAGTAAAACGTCTTGCATACATTGTTCTAGCTTTCCTAATAAAGCTTAATGAATTTATATATCACTTAGCACATAATTATAGTATGTGACCTATTATAAAAGTTTAAGTCCCTGGCCTGTACAGATCGAAGAAGGCAATGCAAGTATGAAAACGTCTGCCGTTGCCATCGTGACTGTGGTAGGGCCATGCAGCAGCTTCTTCTGTTGCACGAATGGGCAGGCTCGTCCGGGGAAGTACCACTACCCAACAGAAGACCGTCGTGAGGTGAGAGTATAATACTTTCGCGTTTCGTCTGGTGAATGAGGTAGCCTAGGTCGACTATTCAAAAGGTTGTAGCAGATGTCGACGGGCGGGTGTTCGCGTAACATCGGGCGAACCGCCCGCTCGCCTGGCAACTTTTCACATAAAAATAATCAAACCGCAATCTTGAGCTTAAATAACGCCAACATCGGCGCACAGCGGCCGCGCCGTAAACATTTCGCCTCAAACAAAGCCGAACACCCACGTTGCGTCAGCGGGCAATTCGAAACTAAACTCGCGGCATGCGAAACTATTAATCACGAGTAATCACATTGTCCGTGTCACCTTTAGTAACGCGATAGGTGCGACGCCGTGCCCCGGCGATGTTTTAAAACAAAAACCAAGTTCAGAGATCGCGTAATCAATGTTTCCTAATCGATTTAATCTGTCAGTGTGGTGATACGGCACGTATAATTTACCTGGACCGCCTGAGTTCTTCGCTGTACGCGGATATTGTGTTCAGTTTATAAGGCCCGAGGCTTCCGGCCAGGTGCTTATTTTTTTGCTATGGCACTAGGAGCTCCCTGCGCATAGTGATCAATCAACGGTTAATACGTGATCAATTAGAGCTAAATCAAGTTGGAAATCTGACTCAAAGTTCATCTAAATTAAAAGTCTACTCTAAAATCACATATCTCTAAGTTATTTTTAATTCTATTTAAAAAGAAAGTTGATTCAACGCGTTAATGCGGTGGTGGTATGGCCACTTGGTACTAATTTAGCATTTCTCCATGGTTTAATAAGAAAAATAGGAACGGATTTCCGCAAATTAACACCTGGCTTCATAAATTATCAGTTTACAGCGCCGTAATCAAGTTTGACTCGACAAATATTAGTACAAAAGAATAGACGCCTGTGTATATTTTCAACGCCTCTGTTACTCAACAACGTTCAAACGAAAGTAAACAAAAATTAGCATACGACTTTTAGATTTTATGGTGAGCTCTCTCAATAATGGACACGAGTCAATAAAGACGTTACATTAAATTAATTCCTGAACATTTACCGGACTCTTTTATTACGTAGTATTTTTTATGTGAGAAAGTTGCAAACGCGCTGGTGGTTCAACTGATGTGATATCCTCCGCAAATGGACATTTGCAACACCCATAGTGTTGTAATTTCTTAGCCACCTTTTAATTAATATGGCTGCGGTTACCTAATTCACCAGACCAAACACAAGAGCACTTTCACTACAGGCCGCTGAGGTCGTGGACATCCCAGCACGGACCTGCCCATTCGTGCAACAAAGAAGATTGTTGCGTGGCCCTACCACATTTTAAACTATAGACACAATTCATCCGTTTTCCCCCAAGTTAAATATAATGACACAAGTATTGTTGTTGATTTATAATAAATTCAATACAATGGTAATTACAGTTATTGCTGTCCATAAATCTGACACGTAACATGTCACCTATCACGTTTCAACTCATCAGTTTTTCATTGTGCAGTGAGCACGAATGTGACACAGTGAGTTTTGTGGGACACTAAACGGTGTCGAAAAAAGTATTAAAAACAGAATTAATACTAGAAATTATATTTAGATGTGCCAATAAAATTTATTTTAAAATAAAAAAACTAAGGTGACAACCTATATGTCCCACTGCTGCGCAAATTCCTCCTCTCTAGAGAGGTTAGTAGGGCATATTCGACCACGCGTCCCCACTACGAATTGGTGGGCTTCACATATGTATCCATCTTCAAAATATTTTTTTCTTGTTGTTTCGAAAATATGCAGGTTTCCTCACGATATTTTTATTAATTGCTGAGCACGTGATAAGTCACCACTTAAAATTATAATTTTACCTAAGTATTAACTGATAGCCTTATGTTACTTATTTTCTTAAGTTTATTTATAATTTAATCGTAAATTAGTATTGTTCATCTTATGTTCGAATCTGTTTTCTTCGATTATCGCAGAAACTAGCTTTTTACTTTTTACAACACACCGCCGTCATAAGCTCACAGACATAGTCACACACTTCGTTAAATCTTGTTTCATAAACATTATAAATCAATATAATAATATACGGACAACGTCATGACGCAAAAGTATTAATATATTAAATAATTTAACTTATGTATTGTTTAGATTTAGTAACATAAAAAATAAAAGGAATTTCGCTTTATTAAATAAGCAAAATGGGTGACTACTGACCTTTAGAAATAAGATTAGTGAGCATGACAATACAATACGCTTCTTTGGCATTCCATCGATTTTCGTGTTTGAAAATTAAATAATTCAAATGTATGCAAATAGACTAGGTCTGGTATACTCTTTATACTAAAGAAGCATTTATAAACGAATATCCAGTAGCGTCTCAACTTATTTTATCAGTTTCGATTGGTTGGAAATATTTGTGAGGTGTTTACCTCTTGTGAAGAATCACTAAAGATTATTAAAGCGTTGTAAAATATTTACGATTGTGAATAAATTAGTTTTTAAAAGCATTGGCGCCGAGTTGATACTCGTATTTGTCTTACAAAAGTATGTTTATCCATGTGTTTGATAGATTCTTTATTTCTCAGAAATAATTTTTCCTTATTGATGATTCTATGTCATTATCATATTCCTAAAAATTCTGAGTAGAGTCATTTAAGAGTGGGTCACCCGTGGTACTTCTAGAAACTAGATACTTCGTGTTAGCTTATTATACATAGATTTATTTAGAACAACGTAAATATAATATCTGAGAGTTCAAACAGAATCTGAACGCAGTGTTGCAAAAAGGCAGGCAGAAAAAGTGCATGTATATTTCATGTAGCATGAACAACCGCAATCATGACAAGCAATGAACCTGTCGCGGAATACAAAAGGTGAAAAGCTCTTTGATTTGCAACTGTCATTGGAAATTGCTACCACAAATCGCGTGTCAAAGTTCCTCCACTACCACCGCACGCTTTTTTGGATTTGCGATATGTTATAATAAATAATAATATATGTTGCATAAAGAAAATTACGATTGATAAAACATAGTATTAAAATAAAAGGTAATTCTTAGTGAATAAAAAATATCACACGATAGAAAAAGGTCAATATTTTTATTTTTGCCCCCTTCGAAGGGTCTTCCCGGCCACTAGCTTAAACGCTTATTCATTAATGTCAAAATTTGTATTGGATACTACTATATATAATATTTCTTATAACCTATCAATGACATAAATATGGAACTTAATGAAAAAATCACAGTACTACGTAGCTATTTGTAAATTTATATTTCTTTCAATACAACACGTGATGATAGGATCGTTTAAAGGCACGTACTTACTTCGTTATACAAATATTGTAGTAAAGTTAATTAAAGTTTCATAAGAAACTGATAAAAATATAAGTAACTGAAAAAAAAGACGACGTCCTACCTGCGCAGTATTCTATAACAGACTGGCTACAAGGACAAATCGATATCGGCGAAAACATGCTGAAAACCCAATCGTTAAAATTTATGATCAATGGATAGATGGAGGACTATACACGATAAGGTGCAGATATCGGCGGATGTATTTAAATTGTATTTATAGAATCTTTACTGTCGCTAAATAAATTATTTCTTATCAATGAAGCAAAATAATTGTAGTTTTTTTTCTTTTTTGCGAAAATTTACACGTATTGAACGCACCGCACCAGGAAATAATTTATCGTAATGAAATATATGTCTGTATATTTAAGTTTATCATTATTGTATTGTTACCACATGAAAATTATGTTTTTTTAATATAAAGCTAAATCCAGCTGTTAATAATGAAGCTATTAACTACTTCGATATTTTCAAGCCGCAAGAAGCATTGTCATAGATTTTCACTGTTTAACCTTACGATTAATGGGTATTGGGCGATAATTAAAAAACTTAATAGGAATATATCTACGACATCATAAAAAAACTATCTAATATTTGATCTAGGGTAGATAACAGTGTTAATTAAAAAATGGCTTTGAATTCCAATAAAATTGGAACGTAAATACACATTTACTTACTACGCTTAACACAGCTATAGCTCCTCGTAGACGTAGTAAAAGCCGTTAAGTACATAAATATGTAAATTAAATAAGTCTCAATTGACTCGTTTATCAGTCACAATCTCATTCCCTCGATTACAGGCGATCGCCTTGAAAACAATTTTATCGAAACAACGGACGTAAATACGTATAAAAGTCACGAAAACAAATCAATCGATCTCCATTCATTTCCAGAGACAATAAAATCACTACGGATCTACACACCCGATAACGACGAACGGAAACGAACGGAAACGAGAGAGCGAAAAACTATAAAAATAAAATTTAACTACAACTTACATAGCCGAACTTTGCCGTCATGTTGTGACCCGTTGTATATTATGTTGAACATACATCTAACTGAATTACTCAGTCGCTGTTTCTTTAAAACAGTACAGTCCACTTTTATGTAATAATTTTCCAACACTGGTCGCATTCAAAAACGCAAAAAAAAAAAACACTTAAAATAGCATACTTATATGCCTTTGTGAGGCCTAACTGCGAACAATAGCTTTTGTATTGTAGTCACTTGGAAAAAAACATGAAAAACGGACGCCGGCGGTTCCGTTCAGAAACACCTATAATGTTTCACATCACACATAAGTTTCCTGAATGTGCCCGCCCGTTTTTGAACGCTACACTTATCGCAGGTTACGCGTCTATTTCGCTGGGGGCTACCTTAAACGCTTTTGATTAATTTACTGCTTTTAACTTTTCATAGTCGGGCGCACGTATTTCCACGCACGTATTTTTAAGGCTTCAGCTTAGGCCGGGACATGCGCGCTGCGCGGCGGGCGGCGTACGACTACGAGATAAAAACCTTGCTTGATTATAAAGTTATAAGCTAAACTTTTTTGTTCGTGTGCGTGTGTTGAGATGTGTGGATGCGGGACTTTTGTCGGCGACCTTACACGGTTTTCACTTGTTTAGGGTTTTTAGTGATTTCATTGGGAGTTCACGAAGCGGCTACCGTTTTGTTTATATGTAGTTAATGTAGCTATACAAGCGTCCACTGCAATACATGCACCTCAGCTCAGTGGCCGCGGTGTAATCTATGCGTGGCTTTATCAAAATGGGGCAATGTGACTGTACCCACCTTTACTCCTTTTGGTCGTCGAAGTTAACAAAACCTTCACCGCTTCGATAACAGTTTTCCTAAAAGTAAAGTACTCCTGTTCATTTTTTAAGTAGAATTGGTTTTAATTGCAATGCAACGATATAATATTGATTATATCAAATGTCCTTTGTAGTAAATGTTGGAAACGTGTTTTTGTAATTATTCCCAAAAAAATTTACTAAATTATAAAAAATAATTATTTGGCAACAAGTGTGGCGAACAACTTTAAACGGTAAACAAGATACTCCTTAATTGTTTCTTTTAAACAGCTATTTTGACCGCAATAAAGATAAAAGAAAACTTAAGTATTTTTAATGCAGACATATTACGAGTAAAAACAAAAACAAAACACTTATCGCGTTTAGAGTTGAATTCTTTTCATCCAACTCACTTATTAGAGTCCAATTATTCGATAAACCAACATCAATGAGCGAGCCCAGTTTGTTCATCCGGCTTAACCTGGGTGTTATGTAACTAGTTGATTGAAACCGACATACTGTAAAATTCTACTACTGTAGGGTTTGTTGCTTTCCAATAGATTAATACTTGTGTCTGCTTTGATGAAAAGTCTGTTGAACTTTCGGATATTAAATCATTATCAAGATTTTCTTGTCTAATTCAAGGATAGGACGCAAATATGGTGTAATTTTGAGAGTATGATGTGACGAGAGAGTGCGCACAGTAGTTTATATCGTTCTTAAATGCAACAGTAGTACGCATAAATTTAAAAAGAATATTTCATTCGATCTACAAACACTTCTGTACCAGCGTCGTATAGAAATTATTACAAGATCTAAACCTTTTAATCTCTCTGTAACCTACATATTTATTAATCACTAATACCTTTTAGTTAAAAAGTTTGAATTATTAAATTCTTCCTAATCGTCAAGTAATGTGTTTTTGGTTATTGACACCCCGGAATCAGGAAACATCGATGTATTCGCCCGCGATTTCCTCGTTTAGTTGATCAGGAAAACGTTCAATGTCGCTAACGACGAAATAGCCGAGTTAGTTTTTAGTCAAATTTCTCATCGGATTCAAGTTATCAGCTACGCGAAACGCAGAGATGCGAAATAGTCAAGATTCTTCCTACAGAATGCAATGCTGTAGTACAGTATAAATGCAAAGGCCTGCTTTTAAACTGTGCTACAGCCTCGCAGTTGCTTTTGTTGCCACATGAATGGGCCGGCTCGTCTGGAGAAACACGTCTACTTACTCCGCCCCAACAGAAGACCGGCGTGAAACAGAAGTGATTTCTGCTGGTGAATATGATAACCAGGACCTACGCTCTTAAAATTTGGCAACAACACTGCAACCCAGCGGCTCCTGTTATTGTCTACGATTTACCAATTTCTCCGGTAAACAAAGTCGGACTGAGCTACAGTAAACAACGAAGTTCGCTGTGTATTGTAAAATTTAATTTCTTTAAGTTCTGACAAAAAGGCATCAAAGTGAAGATTGTTTTGACAGACTAGCCTTGACCTGAACAGCGGCTGACCGCTTGATATTGGCGGCTGATTTGCGGGACACTGTCGTGACCTTTCAAGTTTCCATGTGGCTTCCTCTATTTACACAAGTTTATTATTTTTAATGATTTTGCACTGATATTGAACATTAACATTAATTGCTTGTCCTTTATAACATTTGTAGTTCTTTGTATTTGAACGTTATATGTTACTGTAAAATTTCATTAACTGTTCACTGTAATATTTAAGTAAATGGAACATAGTAAATACAATGAAGATAATTGGTAAAGTAAATTAAAACTTTCAGAATTTAAGAACATAATCCTATAATGACAAAAAAACTCAAATTACGATTAACGAATATTGCACTGTAAAGACAACACACTGTACATAATTCGTGGTAGAAACCTAATGTGTTGTATTTGGTAATAAAATTGCAGTGAATGCGATTATTATACCAATTAGCGATGGCTCTGCTGCGTAGGCTTTAACACACGTCAAAATATCAATACCTTGGAAAGCCCTCGTTGTGAAATTAGAAATTGCCGGGGCGCGTTCACAACACGTATTTATTTAAGCTGCTACAAAAGCGACATCGCGTCGCAACAGCACTTGCCCGAAGCCATTGTGTATGCTACAATGGAAACGCTCCTATCAATCACAGCCGTAGAAGCGCGTCAAAAGCTTCGCAATGGCGATTCAGCAAATTGTACGTGTAAATATTAAAAAAAAGTCTTAAGCGACAAGATATTTTGAATTTTTCACTGTAGTGGAACCACGTAACAGTCTACGCTGTTGCACGAATGGGCAGACCCGTTCAGGGAATACCACGAGCTTTAATATGGCCGACGTGAAGTGGTAGCGTTATACTTCTGCGTATCGTCTGGTGAGTGAGGTAGCCGGGGCCCACTTTACTATAAGGAAGGTAATGTAACATATATATGTTGCGTATGTCAAGGGGCGGCGGCTATCACTTAACGTCAGGTGAACTACCAGCTGGCTTTCTCACATAAAAAATAGACGCCTGAAAACGTACGCGCGGGGCAATAGTGGAGCGAAAACTTCAGACGTCATAAATAACGTGCGTGGAGCTGAGCGAGGCGATAACATTCACAAGTTGCACATTCCTGTCTTTGGTTCACAAAACGATTTGCTGTACCTCCTCCTACGTACACGGGTCTACGCTGCAGTCATTATAAATGATTTAATGCTACATTGAATTTTCCTTCCAGTTATTATTATCTTAAAGTTTCGACATTTTGCTAACATAAAAATGAACACGCTATTTTTATTGTAGACTTTAAACGGAAACCTTAAGTAACTTGCACTAGTAATAAAACATTAGTGAATACGTAATCATAACCGTAATCGTAATCAGCCACTAGTTTCCCACTGCTGGGCAAAAGCCTCCTTCCATTTTTTCTTTCCATTTTAGTTAAAACAAAGTTCACAAATAACATTCCTAGTCTTTCGCTTGCTTAATATTATGCGGATTTATTTCATATTAACACTGACGCAATTATATGATCGAATGTATCCATTTGGACTTGTATCAAGAACGTGCACGCACACAGTTTAATTTGCAATACAAATATGCCAATCCAATTCTACTAATACTTGTATCACCAGCTTGGAACGTAGACTGAAGCATTGATTTTTTTATAGTGTTGATGATCATTTCAAACGACTGGAGTATGTTACAGAAATTATTGACACAAATCTATCCATATAAAATAAAAGTCAGAACAGAGTCGTTTCGAGTATAGTCCCAATAAGAAGAGTAATTTGCTAGGCTTCTTCGTTACAACTCGGTATGTGCTGTCCGTTCAGCGGTCAGTTTTTTTATGAAATAAATGAATTTTACTTTTCTGTTTTTATTTTAGTATGGACAAGCGGGTAGCTAGTACACTTGATGGTTAGTGAGAATCACTCGTAAACACTCAAAAACAGACATGGAGCATTTTATAGTTTGTGAGTTCGGCAACCACACTTACCAAACGAAACGGAATAGTATAAGAATTTTTACATCACGCAGTAGTACTACTTTGATTGCGCAAGCATTTTCGTATAGACGAAGCTATTATGTATGCTGCTGTTTTTCTACCCTAGAATATCTAAATGTCTTAAGTATATCTTTCGTTTAACAAATTTCATAAAGACATTTTATTTTCATCTAAATCACCTACTTATTTTAAGCAACAATAATGTTTCCTATATTGTAGCAGCTTGTTAAACGCCACCGTATTAAAAATTACAATGGTATCGAAAGCCTACCTCAACAACTGCGTCTGCAATCGAATCATCTCGAACATGAACATTAATTACTAATAACTTAACACACATCAACTTTTCTAAGAGATATTTTATGATAGCATTCCTAATCGTGTGGATTTATACCGATGATACAATCAACTAATACTCGCCGTTTGAGTAATTCGTGAATATGTATAAAACTCGTGAGCGAACTAGAGTTTTTGGAATTGAAAAGGATTAAGATTTTATCAACACATAACAATAATCTTTTACGGAAAACGGTAACAAAATGAAATCACAAATACTGCGAATTGCGTGACTTATATAATGTGCTTTATTAACGCGCTTTTAAAATCCTTCATCACATCGATTAAAATTCAGCAGCACAGTATAAATTTTTACTTAATATTATTTAAAAAAATCACCATTCAGCATATTATTCGTTAATACATATATCAAAACAATAAAACAGTCGTTTTCAAAGAAATAATTCAAAGCCTAACATACACAAGTGTGTTATTTAGGTCATAGGAGCTACGTAAATATACTTGCTCAAAATGATTGAGTAGTTTCAGTAATTCTTTTAATTATAATAATGTATTTAAGTGAAACCCTTAACTGTATTCTTTAAACTAACCTCTAGTCCTAAGTTTCAAGATTTTTTCAAGAAGATGGTGAACGCCTTCTGACTGTCATCGAAATATTAAAAGTACCTACAGAACTGCTGACCGAGAGTTTTAGAGCGTAGATTTCATTGCATGCTCTTCGTAGAGTCATGTATTAAATTTTCATGAAAAACAATGATGTTTTAATAAAGATAACGTATGTCCATAATGTGCGGTGATTAAAATTTATTCCGCTTTACATTATATGGCGTATATAAGTGAAGGTGACGGGTGATACGTACGTATGCTACGGAAAGAGTCTATAAAAATGCAGTCTAATTACGCCAATTGGCGTAATTTAAGTCTTTCAGTGTCGGTGCGCTAGTGTCATATCTACCTCGTATTTGTATGTATTATTATTGTTTAGAAACAAATATTTAACGTCAAGAACTTCCTGCAAATTCGACACCGCATTTTATTAAAAACTGAATTTATTTTTTATTCGAAAAGTTGCCAAACGAGCAGACGGTTCACCTGATGTTAAGTGAGTACCGCCGCCCATAGACATCTGCTACACCCGAGGGTTTGCAGATACGTTGACGCCTTTTTGGAAATTGAGCTCCGGCTATCTCACTCACCAGACGAAACGCGAAAGTATTTATCATACTTCCACTTTACGCCGGTCTTCTATGAGGTCGTGGTACTTACCCGGACGAGCCTGCCCATTCGTGCAACAGCCGAGGCTGCTGCATGACTCTACCACCAATAAAATAGTTTTTAGATTTGACAAAACGACTACTAACACTAATCTCTTCTTTGTCATTATCTTAACTTGAACACTAATTAGTAGGGTGTATTGCATAATACATAAGACTTCGGTGATCTTTGCTGTTTAGCCGTGACTGATCGAGGCCTCAACCGTTTACTTATATTTTCCTTTAAGACCAACGTGCGACAACTTTAACAAACCAATTCTGTATAAGTTTTACTGTAAGAGTATCAAACTAACTACGTCTGAAAAAAAAAATAAGTAGACTCGATATCAAATAAGGTGTAATTTCCGAGGTTCAGGTTAGGCGCCCCGGGGGCCCGGCCACCAACAAGTCCTGTGGATCTGTAAAGGCCCTTAAGGCCAACAGTGGTAGATCTTGCCATATAACTAAATAAATAGACCGGTTGACCCTTGTAAGAGATTGTAATTATGTGGAAAATGTTTTGAAAGGTGTATATGCATAGATATTGAAAGCGACAATCTTACTGAACAAATTAAAATAAAACCAAATAATTTTACAGTTTTATTGCTCAATTTAGATTTAGGGGCCAACATTTATACGCTTAGTAGCACTCTCTTCACAACTTTCAAGTTGTTGAAACATTGCCAAATGCGAGAGCTTTGAAACTTCAATGCAATTGTAGAAAATGAAATAAGTTTCTACTACAAAGGCAACAAATCAAGAGACAGTAACAAGAGGAGATATTTCATAGAAAGAGTCAATACGCTACTTTATTGAAGTTCAGAAGATAAATGTAGTTTATTGTCTGAATTATGTACTCGAAACCAATATAATTGGAATTAGTTTTTGATAACCCTTGATTTTGGTGTCCGTGATAATTGCTCTAATAATAACGATTCAGGTTATTGATGAATATAATTGAAAGTTAAAATAAAATATATTTAATTAAATTTGAACATGTTTGAAGCATTCATAAGAAATAAATTTGCCCTGTCCAGATATGAACCGGCAAGAATCTTTGCGGTCTAATATTTATTAATAAAAAAGTTACATTAAAATAGCATCAGTATAAATTGTTAGTAGCCACGACTTGCAATAACAGAGCATGACTTATTTCCGCACATGTTGGTCCGATTTCCTTCACAAAAGTATAAATTAATTTTAATGTCTTTTTGAATACTTGTCTAAAATCTCGCTCGATTATTTTTGAGCAGTATCAATTACATTGTACATTTTTTTACTTAAATGAATGTAAGTCTGACCCTAGGCACTACTACGCCCGTTGTATATGATATAGTTTCTTAATAATTCACTTCCTTACGTTTAATTAAAGCAAATGAAATGACAATGCTATCTAAAATGAATACACATATGTACCTACTGTTTGGAAAAGCGCCGTCAAGTATGTACTTAGTTCCCTCAGGAATAAATAGTAACAAGCGTTCTCGTTTTCGTGAATAGCCCCCTCTGTTCGGTTAAGTGCTAAAACTAGATACAACGCGAGATTAGTAAATCAGGCGCCTCGGGTGTGTTTGTTCGAACAATTACATACGCGAGGCGCCGCGCCGGTCGGCAAATACAGTACGAATGCCTTCGATGTAGTATGTAGTGCTCGTTGATCCTTACCGTGTAAACTTTAGACCGGTCGGCAGGCGTTAAAATTAATAACCAATTTGAACAGGCGATCGACTTTTAAGATACTCATGAAATTTAATAACCGCAGCCGTCTCTTGTTTACCTACGGTTGTTCTATATCAGCAATAATAAAATCACTAAACCCGTATTGTAGACATTATGCACTCACGTTAATGTTTGTTAATGAAAATTTATATGTATCATTTTAACGTTACATAAGCTCCGTCCATTTTATTGCTTAACTAATATATAATATTTATTTGATTATTCTGAACTTCTCTCTTCTTTTATACATAAAACTCTATAACTTATTGCTTTATTCATCCACTAAAATGATATACTAACATACTTCTTAATTGTGGTGTAAAAAAATAACAAGATATCGATATATATAAAATAATAAGCTTACGTATGTTCTGTGCGTCTGGGTTTTTTTTTTACTTAAATGACAATGGCAAATAAATAGAAATTGTGTGAAGGTGATTACTTATGCGGCGGTTCTAATGTCAAGAGCCAATATTACTAATATTAAAGAGGGATAAAGGTTTGAAATATTTATTTATTTAACTCTATTGCTACACCTTATCTATGCCTAATGGCATTCTCTTCCAGTAAACCCTTGCCATGGTGAAAAGCAGATGAAATATATTGGATGGAAATATTGGATTCTGTAACCTAAAAATCATTTTTATCACAATTATAACAAAAAGTATCCTTTATTGTATATTAATTTTGAATTTGAAGATTTTGATAATTATGAAACAACTACCATATAGGCAGTAATAGTTTTTTTGGGACAGAAACAGGATTTTTCTGCACTATGTTAGTGGCACGCAGTTTTATTATATTACTGCTTGAATAGTCGGGCTATAGACACATTGCATTGATTGCATGCTTTTGCATTTCTCTTATATGGGGTAACTCGTAAATGTCCTCTTTTGGGTGGGAACGCAAATCGAACACTCTGAAGTTACACATTCCGATAGGCGACTTTGTAGTAAAACCACTTTGTTTCCTATTTTTCACTTGACTTTCCACGCGCCTCAACGGACTCAATAAAGTTTCGATGGGCTTTGTTTTAGGATAGTACGACGCTATCATTTCCATTAACAACACGCGGGCGCCGACTATCGTACGTTTGTTCAGTAATTGCTATTTTGAATGGCTTGACAGTTATCACTTTATCGCGCGCATTTATTGTTATCGATGTATTTAATATCCATGGCGCCAATATGCAATATCGACTCGCGCGATAACCGTATCTCTGCTGAATTGCATATCTGGAATTACGAGTACACTCACGGCGTCTGTAGCGGTGACTACCGACAGGAAACTCTGATATCTGGCGCCGTTTTTGATCTCGATATAGGCGTATTAAAGATATACTTAAAAAAAGATTCGTGGACATTGGTATACTGTTAGAATTTCTGTAGAGATGCCTTGTATGAAATATTCTCGTTATATTGTCCGAGACTTTGTAAATTTGCTAGTTGAAAAAAAAAAATGTTTGTTACTATTAATATATAAAAATAAAACGGTAAATAATTCAAACGCGCATAAAGAAGTTTTGTCACGTTTTGTCACTTCGTATCTTTACCTTCCCTTCTAATTTCAACTCCGTACCCAATGCTAGTATCATGTCAAACGCGCGTCAATGACCGTCTTACGAATACATAAGCCAGGCGGAGTAGTAAAGCCAACGCCTAATAATTAAAATTAATTTTAATGGGTAAATTTATCTGCATTATTTAATTCGGCTATCGAAAATTTTCATCTTCAATAATCATTAAAATATCTTGTTATTTAACGCACCACTGATTACAGACCGAATAAAATGATAAAACCACCTGATGTCGTATTTTTAACTTTACATAACAACCGTGGCTAGCAACAAGATATTAAAAAATATGATTTAGTGATAAGTAAAAAACGCAAAAACAACTCAAATTGTCCTCCATTTTTGCGTTATTTTTGTATATAACAAGAAAACATTCCACAATGCTATTTACAATATCATTGATCGTTTAATACACTAATAACGACTACGAGTATCAAGTACTATTTTAATACATACTT